CCCCCCCCCCCCCCCCCCCCCCAACACCCTTGCTATCCAGCTAAAAATATATCAACTATCTACAGGAAGATGTACTGAGTTGAGTTTATTCACCTCCTGCTATCTTTGCTTGTCACCTGTATTTTAAAACTATTGATAGTTATCCCGCCACAGCCACCAGTGTGACAACTTCACAAAATACAAGTCCACTGATGTGACCTGTGTGGACCATTACAAATGCATCTACCTTACTTCATTAGCAGACCATTCTTACTTCATTAGCAGACCATTTGAACACCTCTACTCCTTTATTCTAATTGGTTTTGATAGCAAATTAAAATAGGTCAAGTATTCACGTGACTGACACGCTGGTCTTATTCTGTTCCTGTTTTGCGGCCTCCTGGACAGCCCTGGACCTCCTCAGTTTCTCCGTTCTCTGGGCCTGACTGACCACTGAAAGGGGCGGCTGGAGTTTGTCCAGTTTGGGGGACTTGGGGAACTTCATTAAGTTAGCTACTTTGTCTAACAGAAACCTGAAATATGGAGTAAATAAGTATTACAATTAATATTTAACCCAAAGTGAACATACATATCAAATCACCTTACTCATATGAGACTGGATCTAGATTAAATTAACTACATTATCAAACCACCATATGGAATATCTGTTTTATAATTGTGGTATAATTAGATTTTACTTCTCAATCTTATATCAACCTATGGACACTTAACCAAAATTTGTCAACAGAAACGTGAATATAATTTTCATATTTTAAAAGTGATTTTTTAAACTGATCAATCAAATATAAAACATAATCAACTTCACAAGATATCTATAACCACTGAAAATCTTCTGTAATCATTCCATATTTTGTGTTGCAAAATTACACTGCTTTTCTGTAAGAAAAGAAAAATAACAGGAAAAAATAGGTACTCACTCGACTTTAGTTTTACATTCACTGAGGAATACTTCATTTTCCTCTATCTCTTTCACCGGAATGTACTCTGGATTTACAAGCTGAAGATCAAAATACAAACTTAATTTAAATATCTACATAAATCAAGATGGTATGAATTAAATATTTAATATATATCTGTTTGTCTAAACATTATCCTTTTTTAAAATCATTAAAAACAGGTGTGTTCTTCTTATTACTTAAATTCAAATGGCTATGCACAATATAGGAATATAAAGAATAATTTGTAATTCACTTTTTCTTTTTTTTAACACATTGACTGCAGAAATATCCCATCAAGCCTTTTCTTAAAAAAAAGAACCTGGTATTGTATTTTGGGTGAAGAGAAGTCCTTCTTTGGCTCTCTGGGAGATGAGGTTCTGGGTAATAGAACAAGTGCAGCCATTTCTAGAACTACTTTTTTCAGCAGACAATATATTACTCCACAGAGAGTAATTTGGTCCACTACTACAACTTACTTAACAGCAAGATGTGGCTCACCTTCAGCTTAGCTCCCACATTAAATTTACAGCTCTGTTTGTGCGACTGGAACAGTAAGGAGATGTTGTCCTGATCCAGAAACCGCAAGCTCAGGCAACGGTTCAACGCAAAACAGATGGGCTGGAATGGCGGCGCATGCACATGCGTTGTCACGTCTTTCCAGTTCCACTTTTTCTTCTTAGCACCATTGATGTCCAACTCAATTCCTCCCATCTGATCTAAACACAGTCTGAAATCAAAGGAAGATGCCATACAAATTTAATTTTTGATCCAAAATGTACTCAGTACAAAGGCACGCATCAAAGAATATATACGAGAGAGAGAGAGAGAGAGAGAGAGAGAGATATCTCACCTTAGTTTCCCATTATGGAAATAGCAGCCAGCGTGCCCATTAGGCTCAAACACACCAAGCACCTGCGGCTCCTCCGCGGCGTCCTCCAGGATGACGTAGGTGAATTTCCCGGGGGTAGTGGAGGATATTCCAATAGCCAAGTTGCCTGATGGATAGCTGAGGAAAGGGTTAAGGGAAATAATTCCCAGTGATAATCGGACAGAAGATATCTTTTTCTGTCAAATATTTGAGATATAATAAAAAGAAGAATAGATGTTTGAATTCAGTAGCTGTCAAAATCCTAACACAATCAAAAGGACTTGTTAATCAAAGAGAAGATGTCCTTCCATGTCAACATGTTTTAAGATATTATAATAAAAGGATAAAACAGTGCTTGCTCTAACTATAAATTTTCAAGTTACTGTTAAGATCCAGTTTCTAATTTTCAACAAAGTTGCAAAAATATACCTAGGGAAATGCGAAATTGCTGATCATATCTCTTAATTTAGTTTAAATGTTAATAATAAATTATGGAAATATTTCGATAGTGTTGCAGTAAAAAGGATACTAGACGTGACCCGTGCCGTCAGGAAACAGGACCAGGAATAGGCTGCCATCTTCATAGTACTTCTCCAGTGTGACGCCCCTCTTTCTCAGCTCCTGGTGAAGACATAATGAAAAAGATGAATATCTTTTTTTTTTTTTTTAATCTTAGGACAAAAGTGATTTTGTATCAATTAAATACTGTCGATATTACTGATTTCCTCAATATGAAACTATTCAAATAATGATGATATTTTGATTACTCTTACCAAATATTTCAAATCTGAAAGTTAATTTGTTTATATATTGTTGTTGAAAATTTAAGCTTATCTATGTCTGTTTTAAAATGGAACTAGAGGCAAAAAAATGAAAATGCTTTGATCTTTGAATTGATGCAAGACTGCAGATCACATGCAAACAAGTAAAACACACAAAGTGATATAAATCATCATGCAGCCCTAACCCCTCACCAACATCATGTGAATACAAAGAGAAAATCTACAGGTGCTTCCACTGGTATAATATAAAAGGAAAATTCTTACTTAACATATATTAACACCATTCTTACTTGTTGATAAACATATATTGTAAAATATCAATTTCATTTAACTTGTATCTCTTTATCTATATTTATCTATTTATCGTTTAGCAGGCTCTATTTTATACCTCCCCCAAGGAGGTTTCATTTTTGCCAGTCAGTAACATGGAGTTAACAGTCTTATTCAAAAAGTTCTAAAGTGTTTTTGATATAAACTCCAGGATAGGTCAAATTTTGTTAACTTAGAACCAAAAGATTTTGGTAGTGGTCCATAAATGAATTGATTGGTTTATTCAACAATATGAGTTGAACTGTTGTGGTAGTGGTGCCTGTTGAAGTGATTTCATTTGTAGTTTAGACATACTATCTTGCCCTACACGTCATGCTATGCCAATGGCCCTCAGTTGACATTACAACTCATAAACATGATAAGAAGGATGTAACACATGC